AGCCCAGAATTGGGTGTTTCCCTTTCCCTGAGTCTGGGCAGGAGCACAGACCAGTAGGGGATCCAAATCCAAACGAGCCTGTTGAGCTCCGGCACAAGAGACTGGTGTCGAACCCCAGAGTGGCCACTGGACGAGCAGCAACTTCCCTTCTACACAGAGGGTATTCCAGTCACTGTTGCTGCCTCGCGAACCCCAAACCTTCGTGGCCTAACAACACTAACCATTCATTCTGCTCATAAATCTGTACTTGGGGTAGGGAGCCCTTGCCTCTGCTCCACCGAGACCCCTGGGGGAGCTGGACTGGGGCTGGGAGACCCACTCTCAGATGGCTCGGCCCGTGGCCGGCAGTTGGTGCTGGCTGTCCCCTGGAAATCCAGCTGGGACTGAAGGCCAGGGGCCTCCGTTCCTTCATCCTGGGCCCCTTCATGGGCTCCTCACAGCGTGGGGCTGGCCTCTGAGAGCAAGCACCAAGAATGGGAGCCGGGAAGGAGCTGTCGCTTTTATGCCTGGCCTCAGCAGTCACATAGCATCTCCGCAGCCATCGCCACCACCCGCCCAGGTCCCAGGGGAGGGAACACAGACCCACCGCTCACTGGGAGCTGTGTTTTTAATTGGGATCATCACAGCTGTTCTGTCATTGCCTGTCTGCACAAAGCGCTCCCCTGCTCACGTGGGACATTGCTTTGGATCAGAAATCTCTGTCCCTGGGGTCTCAAGCAGCTAGGGTCAGAGAAACCGGGTTTTAAATTCTAGCACTGCTACCTGGTGGCTGCTTTGGCCATAGACAAATGACTTAACCCTGTGTTAGCATGGATGTGATGGGAAGTCTTGGGCGGCAAGTTTATCATTTTGCCTATTTCCTGCTCCCAGGAGAGGGCCTGTGGGGTGTGTGTGTGTGTGTGTGTTCACGCGTGCACCTATGTGTCTTTGTTAGGGAGCTGTGATCTGTCAGCCCCAGAGCTGCAGCACAAGGTATTTAAATTCACACTTGCCAGAGGTCACAGGTGTGTCTGGGGCACTTGGGCCCATCTCACATGGATTTCTTACTTGCAGTGCTTTGAGATTGTACTCTGGGAAACACAGTCATAGACCTCATCCGTTCAACTGTTGAGTCAGTGATCTCCAGGCATTTCTGGAACCAGGTGATGGCATCAGGTAGCTATAATCACCAAGCAGAACCTGACCTTTAGCCCTGTGGCCAGAGCCACATGTCTAGCAAGACTTGATAGAATTTGGAATATGGCTGCCTGGAGAGAGGGCAGCAGCAAAGATTTGTACCCAAAACTCCTCGCTTTCATAAAGAAGCCAGGGTCACAGGCATGAGTACTGCTTAAGAGCAGTCACCTAACTTACCCTGCAGTAATGAATTGTCTGTATTTCTGAGTAAGAGAAGCTGCTCCAAGGAATGAATTTATGTTTGGTCATAAATTAAAGGGGACATTGAAGTTCAGAGCCCCTGGAATACTGGGGTCACAGTGATGGAAGGAGAGCACTGTACGTGCAGGGTGTTGGTGGGATGGGGAGACAGTGAACTGGCCCAGGTCCCTCGCAGCCCTAACCCCAGAGAGCTGGCCTGGGCCAGGGCAAGTTGTTTCCTTGTGTTGGGCTTCAGCCTTCTCGTCCATCAGGTGAGAGAGTTAGATATCAGAGAGTCCTAATTAAAAGTCCCTTCCAATCATAAGACGATCCTCTTGAAATTAGAAAAGCTCATTTCCCGGCAAGATGGTACATTACTGCGCTGTAGGAGGCAGGCTCCCCGAGGGTCAGACTCGGTGTGCTGTGGATACTCTTTTCTAGTGTTGTTGGAACTTCAGGTGTAGAAGCTAAATTTCCACGTGTCTGGTTATCTGTGGCTGCCAACAAACCACCCCAAACAGTGGCTGAAAGGAGTAAGCTATTTTTTTTTAATGTATTTTATTGATTTTTTTTTACAGGGGGAAGGGAGAGGGATAGAGAATTAGAAACATCGATGAGAGAGAAACATCGATCAGCTGCCTCCTGCACTTCCCCTACTGGGGATGTGCCCACAACCAAGGTACATGTCCTTGACCGGAATCGAACCTGGGACCCTTCAGTCCACAGGCCGATGCTCTATCCACTGAGCCAAACCGGTTAGGGCAGGAGTAAGCTATTTTATTCACAAATGTTAGGGTTGACTGGGCTCAGCTGGGGGCTCCCACTTAGGGCCTGTTGTGCGGTTGCCATCCAGCAGCTCTGGGCCGGGGCCATACTCTCTTCACGCTGATGTCTGAGGCCTGGCTGGGGCTGGGGCAGCTGAGCCCCCTCTCACTCTCCACATGGTCTTTCCACTCCCTCCACAGGGCAGCCCTTACATTTGGGCTGAGGCCCCCAAAAGAAACCTGCAGAAGCTGTGTGACCCATTCTACTCTGGCCTCGGACTCATGTGGTGTCACTTCTGTTCCGTTCTGCTCATTGAGAGGGTCACACTGGTCCACAAGGTTCAACAGGAGGGAGGCACACTCCACCTCCTGGTGAGAAGAGTGCCAAGAACTTGCAAATACCACACACTGGGGAGGGCCAAGCTGCCTGCTGCTTACCGATGGGCGTGGGTGGCTTAGAAGGCTTCTCAGACGCCGTCGATGGTGCCGTGGGGTGTAGAGGCAGAGGACAAATCGCTGGCAGTAGAAACCTAGTTAATGGGGAGGGATGCTCTACTTAGAAGAACATGTTTTACATTACAGTGGGGCCTTGACTTAGAGTTTTTCAAGATAGCCATGTCTCTCAGCTGATTTTTTGCTTTGAGTTGCGAGCTAAAATTCGGGTTACAAGCCAGCTTCAGATACCCCACTGCTAGTTGGCGCAGCAAACGTCACAGTGAACGCCACAACATCAGCCCAGCATCACGTGTCTCACTCGTTCACTTTTTGATTTGACAGAGGAGTAATTTGAGTTACGAGCTCCATCACAGAACGAATTAAGCTCGTAAGTCAAGGCCCCACTGTACAAGGAAAGTGAGCTAGAACTCTGTTTTTATGTGTAAGGGGAAATGTATCCATATGTCTTGTATGTGTGAGTAAGCAATTTTAAGAGAAAAATTTTACCTAAGTTAATTAACTAAGCAATGGGATACCAGGCTCAGGGAAGAGGAGAGAATTAGAGCAGGGATTTCCAGCCCGCTTATTGTACTACTCCAAGTCCCCTCCTTCCACCCCCGTTAGTTGTGAAATACAGTTAATTGGCTGGATTGTTCAAAGAACACCCAGTGTGTCCTATAGAGTCCTGAAGTGGAGAAAGAAGAACACAGGTAAGAAGGAAGAAGAGTCAAAAGACCGATGATAGAAAATCAGTTCCCAAAAGATTGTGGGTCATTGCATTTGATTGTACAGAGCAGCCCGCGGGGTGGGCATTGAGAGAAAGTTGAGACTGTAGACCCGAGAGCCAGGCAGCCAGGTTCAAATCTCAGCCCACCGTTCCCCAGCTGAGTGAGAGGGCTGGTCCTGCACCTCTCTGTCCTTTCCTCGGGCACAGCAGGGAGCTAATAGCACCTGCCTCACCGGGTGGTTGTGAGGACTGTGTCAGGACAGGCCTAGCCCTGCGAGCAGCACGTGATGGGTAGGAAGCACTCCGTTCATTTTAGCCTTTGCTCTCTTCACCAATTCCCTCCTCGCCTTTGCCGGATGCAAATGTCATGCCCAATATGGACAGTGGGCACCCGACCAAACAAACATAAGGAGCAGGGCCTTTCCTTCCCCCTGGGTCCTGGGATCATGGATGCATTGGAATTCTGGGTAGGAGGAGGCCTGCGTGGACATCTGGGCTCCCATCGGTCTCTGGGTTTCCACCCCGCACACACTCGTCCTTATCCCGACATGCTATAAAAACCGGGTGCACATTTAAAGCACGTCAAGCTAGATTTTAGGTTTAGTCTCTCTTATATATTTGGAATTAGAACCTCAGGGGCCATTATGCAAAACAATGCAAATGATATGCAAAGAGGCCCAGAGCCCCAAAGGTGGGGAGCAGAGTGAGCAGGCCAGAACAAAGGGCCTTGGGTGAAAATTTGCATCTGCTGAGAGGAAGGCCTTGCACAGCTATTGTGACAGTATGCTGCCCTTCGTCTTCAGGGGTTAACCTTTCGTGCCCAGGAGGAGAGGTCAACTGGGGCCTGATTTCCATGTTGAAGGTGACAGTGGAGGCTGGAGGTATTTGGGCACTGTGACATTGTAGCAGTTTTTATGCTGCAAATGGAAAGTTGCTTTTGAAATAAGAGCTAAGATCCAGACTCTGTCCCCCACCAGCTGTGTGTTCTTGGACAAGTCACTTCCCTCCCCGCTCTGGGAAATGAGGGCATTGCACTAACTTACTTCCCGGGCCCCTTGCACTGTGACAGCTACGTGTCTCCCTCTGGGTGAAAATCCTTTGCAGCCAGGACGGCAGTATCCACTCATTGTACCAGAGGTTCACTCTGCATCCAAAAAAGAAATGGCTAAGAGGTCACTGAACGGTCCTTCTAGAGAAAACTGACTTTAGAGCGTGCAGAGGCAAACAGATTTTCTGACACTGGGAGACTGACACAAGCAGGGTTCCAGTCATATCTTCCCAGCTGGGAGGATTTTAACCCCTGGAACATTCCTGGTGGGAAAGTCTGGGGAATATCTTTCCTGAGTGCTGGAAAGACCAGGATGCATTAACCCCGCTGACTGTCCCAGGAGCTGGCCATCAGCCCTGCTGGCATGTGGGGGAGGGTCCCCGAGAGAGTGGCCAGATGGAAATGGTTTCTGCTCCGCCATTGCTGGGCGGCCAGCAGGGCTGAAGGAAGGGTGAGAAGGACCCAGGGGCTCATGGGAACAAGCAGGAGTTCACAGGTCGGGATCAGGCCCAAGGCCGCTCCTGGGCGGGGCAGGCCAGCTGTCTCCATTTGGACCTCGGGGATGCTCGGGGGCATCCCCTGAGTTCGGGGGTCACAGGTTCTCGGGTTAGGAAGGCCCGGGCCCCCAGCCTCTCCCGGCACCTCACCTCTGCCCTCTGTCTCCCTCAAGGCTTCCTCCTGACCTTGGCGCTGACCGAAGCTCTGGCATTTGCTGCCCAGGAACCATCTTCCAGGAACTCTCTTCAGGTCCTGCCTCCCGGCACCATGGTGACCCCACCGCTCAGCTCCACCAGTCGCTCCGCCCTGGCGGCCGCCCCCTCCAGCATGACCTTGAGCCCCCGTCCTGATGGGCCCTTCTCACAGGCTGAAGCCACCGTGGCAGCAGCAACACCCTATCCAGAGGGATACCCTCCTGCAAACACCGCCTCCACCACGATGGCCACGGCAACCGTCCACCATGCTGACGGCCCCCTGAGCACAGGGCCCCTTCCTGCGGCCACAGCCACAGCCACGGCCACCTCCCACCCAGAGGGCCGCCCCCTGGGAGAGGCTGGGCCCACCATCCTGCTGACAAAGCCGCCTGCAGCCACCAGCCGCCCCAGCCCAGCACCCACCCGGGGGGCCACACGCAGGCCCCCCAGACCACCCGGCTCTGCCCGAAGAGGGGCTGGTGGTTCATCCCGCCCCGTCCTGCCCGCACTTGGGGGCCCCTCGGGAAGAAAGGAAGGCCCGCGGGGCAGGAATCAGAGCTCCGCACACCTGGGGCAGAAGCACCAGGGGGTGAGAGCCTCTCAGGTCCTCAGAGGCAACGCCACAGGGTCCGCAGAGCCCGAGCCCTCCACCCTCGCCCCCTGGAATTCCTCCTCGTCGCCACAGCCCCAGATGGTGGCCGCAGCCACGGTGCCCAGCAGGACCACATGGGCACCAGGCACCACCCCCTTGGTGCGCACGGAAGGCAAGCCGGGCCTTAGAGCAGACCAGGGGGGTGGTCCGACCCTCACCAGCCCAGGAGGGCAGCCAGACTCCGCCACAGCCTCAGGCGCCCCCGCCAGCCCAAAACCTGCCCCAGTGCCTTCTCCGCGCCCTCGCGGTGACCCCCACGACAGCTCCAGCCACAGTGACTCCTGGCTCCCTGTCACCCCTGGGACCGGCAGGCCTCTGTCCGCCAGCTCAGGGGGCTCCACGGCGGCCCCGGGGCCCCCCCAGGCTGCCTTCGATGCCAGCGTCTCCGCCCCTCCCGAGGGGCTTCCTCAGGGAACATCCTCAGCGACACCCTCAGCCCCGCGGGCCCCCGCTCACCCCCCCGGAGCCTCAGAAAGCACTGTCCCCCAAGCCGAGGAGGAGGCTGTGGCCGCCCCGAGCATGATTGCCCGGCTGCCCCGTCCTCTGTCCACAGTGGTGTCCACGGCCACAGGGAACTTCCTCAACCGCCTGGTCCCTGCGGGGACCTGGAAGCCTGGCCCCGCCGGGAACATCTCCCACGTGGCCGAAGGGGACTCCCCCCAGCACAGAGCCACCATCTGCCTGAGCAAGATGGACATTGCCTGGGTGGTCCTGGCCATCAGCGTGCCCATCTCCTCCTGCTGTGAGTGCCGTCCCCACTCCTCCCCTTCCTCTCCCTCCTCCACACCAACTTGCCCGTCCTCAGAACCCCCTGGCCCAGGGTTGGACAGTCTCCACCAGGTGGGCGGCAAAGCTGTTCAGAATCCCAGGAAACAGGTGGCATGACAGGGATTATGGTTCTCCCTGCCCCTGGTCCTTGGCTCTGCCAGTCACAGCTCGATGCCCACTGGTCATACAGGCACAGCTCCCAGGGGCAGGGAGGACCCCACAGGGAGTCCAGTTTACCCTGCACGTTGCAGGAAGAAATGCCAAACTGGAGGGCATTGTGGTTCACTCGAGACCCCAGGGTTAGCGAGAGGCAGGCTGGGAGAGAGCCCACAGAGCCTGTCTTCCAGCCTAGTGCCCGTGCCACGACACCACCCTGCCCTCCAGGGTCGCCTGCGACTGCCTGTAGTGACGCAGCAGCGGCAGCGGGGAGCCTGGGTGAGACTGGGCACTTGCAAATTACAGCAGAGACCTCACCTCCTCTCCTACATCCCGTCCACATCTCTTCCTGTCTTTCCTCCCCTCCCGCATCTCTTCCCCTCCTTCTGTCTCTCTCCCCCAAGAAAGAAGGGCAGAGCAGCTGTGGTCTTGCAGGAAGTTGTTAGCCCTGGGGAAACAGTGCCTGCAGCTAAGCTGAGGCTTCAGAGTTACCTGCGAACTGAGCTGTTCACTCCCCAGTTTTGTGTGTTCACGGGTGTGAGCTGGACGCCGCGTGGACTCATCACTGTCCTCTGCTCCCACTGGTGTTGGTGCAGAAGGGCTCTCCCCAGGTGACCGGCACTTCTTACTGCTGCTTCCCCCCTCATTACCCCCCCCCAACCCCGGTGTCTCCATAGAGAGCCTGCTGTCATCGCTCAGGACCGAGGGCTGCCTTTATGTCTTCACCAGGTGCTTGATCCTAGATGCTCAGTTTCTCTGATAACCTCACAAGGGTGCTCACTGACCTCACCCCACTCAGCTACCATCCGGCCTCCCTCCGAACCCTCCGGGTGAGGCACCCCTGTGTGCTCACTCGGGACAGCCCGTTCTCCCTCGGGTTGTTACCCTGCTCTCTTGGGGGCCAGAATTTGCCTCCTTGTAATTTTCACTCTGCCCTAAGCCATGCCCTCTGAAACTACACAGAACCAGTCAGTCTGTCGGCCCGAAAACATTTGAAACGGCTCTCGAGGTCAGTCTTCTCTTTCCCAAGCTGCTTGCCCTGTTCCTGCAGGTCCCTCCACGGCAGCGGTTCTCAACCTGTGGGTCGTGACCCCTTTGGGGGTTGAACAAACCTTTCACAGGGGTCGCCTAAGACCATCGGAAAACATCTAAAATTACATATTGTTTTTGTGATTAATCACCATGCTATAATTATGTTCAATTTGTAACAATGAAAATACATCCTGCATATCAGATATTTACATTACGATTCATAACAGTAGCAACATTACAGTTATGAAGTAGCAACGAAAATAATTTTATGGTTGGGGGTCACCACAACATGAGGAACTGTATGAAAGGGTTGCGGCATTAGGAAGGTTGAGAACCACTGCTCCACGGGCTGCATGGTCCTGGCCCTGCCCCCATTACAGCCCTTCCAGTGGCCCCAGCCCATCCCGCCCCCCCAGAAGGGAGAGGACAGCGTCCACATGCCCAGCCATGCAGAGGGGCGCGATGGTTCTTTGTTCAGGCAGCGCAGCCTGGCGTCAGCGTTGGCGGTTGCTCTGATCGGCATGTCTCACCCTGGGCTCACCCACTCTCTGGAGGAGCCCAGCCCCAGAACCTGTACACACAGGAGGCCGTGAGGCAGGTCGTCTGGCCGTCAGTCAGGAGTGTGTGCCTTTAACGTGGCATCGTTCCTGCTTGGCACTGCGCTCCACCAGATCTGCTTAATCTGGATTCTGGATCCTCTCCAGGAGCCGCCGCTCCCGCTTTCTGTCTCCTTCCAGTGGGAGAGCAGAGCAGACTCCCATGTCAGGGTGGCAGCCTGTCTGCTCAGGGACCCAGGTCACAGAGGTGAGCATATTTGCAGGTTGCAGGTTGTATTGTTTCAATAGGCAGCTTTATTATCGCTCATGGAAACACACGTGTATTCTTTTCTTTTTTCCTTAATCCTCACCCGAGGATATGTTTATTGATTTGAAAGAGAGAGAGAAACATCAGCACGAGAGGCTTTGATGTGAGAGAGAAACATCAATAGATCGCCTCCCATACATGCCTAACCAGGGATTGAACCCACAACCAAGGCATGTGCTCTGACTGGGAACTGAACCCGCAACACTTTTGGTGCACGAGACGACGTTCCAGCCAACCAAGCCACACCAGCCAGGGCCACACATGTATTCTTTTTTTTTTTTTTAATGTATTTTATTCATCTTTTACAGAGAGGAAGGGAGAGGCATAGAGAGCCAGAAACATCGATGAGAGAGAAACATCGATCAGCTGCCTCCTGCACACTCCCTACTGGGGATGTGCCCGCAACCAAGGTACATGCCCTTGACTGGAATCGAACCTGGGACCCTTGAGTCCACAGGCTGACACTTTATCCACTGAGCCAAACCGGTTAGGGCAGAGGTCCTCAAACTTTTTAAACAGGGGGCCAGTTCACTGTCCCTTAGACCATTGGAGGGCCGGACTATAGTTTAAAAAAAAACTATGAACAAATTCCTATGCACACTGCACATACCTTATTTTGAAGTAAAAAAACAAAACGGGAACAAATACAATATTTGTATTTGCATATGGCCTGCGGGCCGATGTTTGAGGACCCCTGGGTTAGGGCCACACATTTATTCTTAAATCTGATTGTCCACTTCTAAAACAGAAGAATGAGCCCTAGCTGGTTGGCTAAGTGGATAGAGTATCAGCCTACAGATCGAAGGGTCCCAGTTCAACTCCTGTCAAAGGCATGTACCTCAGTTGCAGGCTCCTCCCTGGCCTTGGTTGGAGTGTATTCAGGAGGCAACCAATTGATGTGTTTTTCTCACATAGATATTTCTCTCTGTCTTTCCCTCTCTCTTCCAGTATCTCTAAAATCAAGGGAAAAATATCCTCAGGTGAGGATTTAAAAAAAACTCACACACACACACACACACACAAAGAATGACAATGAGAAAATATTGCACTGTTAGCCAATAAATAATTAATCATGGTCATAGTAAGAAGTAACCACACTGGAGACAGCTTTCTAATTTTCCATCCTTCACATGTGCCCAGAGGCTCTAGTTTACAAAGTGAGTGCCCATTATTTTTAACCATTCCAGCCTTAAAACAGACTCACCAGAGGAATAAAATAAAGAGAAACAAACACACTGGGCAAGGAACGCACCCTACAGGTGAGGAGTACATCACCAGGTGAAGTGACTTCCCTGGGGCCCCAATCACACGTGAGTCCACCCAGATCTGGTGGTATAATCTGTTTGTCTGATGGAACACACTATTTCCCGAGTGCCCATTGTGTGCCAGGCACTGGGCAGTCCGAGATGTGTGCTGTGCTCCCTGCCCAGAGCCCTCTTCCCGCCGGCTTCCTCCTTGCCTGGGCTGGACAGCAAGAATAGATCTACCCTTGGCCCCTACAGGCCACACCTGGACTTTGCAATTCTAGTCCTTTTGCTATGTGTGCGTGTGAGAGCAGAGCAGATCTCACTGCAAAGCCAGAAACCCCGTGAGCTGCCTCAGCCGTGCATAATCACATCAGCCGCAGCAGAAGTAAGGACACAGCCTGACACAGCACCTAGAGAATGCTTCCGGCACAGCCTTCAGGTGCTGGGGATAGGACAGGTACTTCGTCAAGGATGATACTCACCTGTGTTCAAAGCAGACCCTGTAGCCCCGTGGACCTCTGACCCCACTTCTTAGGCGTCTGTCCTGCATTTCCACTCCTCTGAGCTCACTCCCCAAGGCTCCTGCCTCAGCCCTGGCTGCCTCCACACACAGCTGTGTCCTGAGTCATGGCCCCGACTTCTCAGGGTCATCGTTCACCTGGGAAGGCCCAGCGAGGAGGAGCATTGAGAGAGAACACTTGTCCCTGCAGGACGCTGTGCTCTTTCAAGGCACAGGTGCATGCGTATGCAGACGGTTTTCAGAGCTGCACCCCAGGCCTAGGGCTCTGTCTCAGACCTTCCCAACGCCGGCATCTGTCCTAAAGCTCACTCTGCAGCCTTCCAAGAAGGGCCTCCTCCGTTGCCATTTGCCAGGTATTGCAGGCGGCCTGGGTGGCAGACAGGACCATGCATAGATGCTCTCACATCTGGCTTTTCAGTCCGGCCCTGGCCCTGCTTTTCTCCCTCCTCCAGAAGCCAGACTCCAGATGGCAGGGACCGCTGAGCAGATGGGTGGGTGACTCCCCTGCTCTGGCAGGATCAGGGGGCAGTCTTAGCACATCTCAGGCCTGCCCAACAGGAATGTCACCAGTTTCCCTGCCCACCCAGGTCTGAGCCCCACCAGCAGCCAAAGGTCCCAGCCAGAGACCGCACACAGGGTCTCAGATGGCTGAGGAGTGGGATTGGTCGGATCCAGGCCTTCCTGGGCTGGGCAGGGGAGCCATGCGGCTCCTGAGCTGGTCTCTGCTGCCACCATCAGGACACACAGCCCACCACCTCCCGCCGGAGGCTCTGGGCCTGGTGCTGCATGGACCCTTCCTCGCCTGTCAGCCCTCTGGGTTCTCACCAACTCAGTTTTGTGTCTTTACCAGGCTCCCTGGCCCGTCCTGCACATGCCACACCCAGTCCTGAGGATGTGGAAGATGAGGGCAGGAAGCAAGGCCAACTGCGCGGGCTTTCCTCACCAGGCCCGGAGTGCGGCCCTGTGCCTTGCCCCAGAGCGCCCGCTCCCTTCCTCCATAGGGTACAGCACCAGAGCATCCGTGCAGGGGTCACCGACCACGCTGGTGTGCACAGCGTGGCTCTCGGCTGTCTTCGTTGTTCTGAGAATGGCAGTCAAGTCTGGATGTGTGTGTACCTTTTACTACAGGCCCCACGTGACTCTGACCTTATAAGAAAAACCTGTTAGATTACTGTTTCCAGTGAAGAGACTAGAGGAGATCAGGACGAGAAGGAAGTGTGACCTGGGGGGCTCCTGAGCCAGGTGAACAGGGAGGGAGCAGCCTTTGGCAGGGCAGGGCCGTCCAGGCGTGTCCTCAGCTGACAGGCGTCATGCCCAGGCTCTTAGCTCTGCTCTGTGCTGCCCAACCAGCGACCCCTGGTGGGGACCTCCTGGGCTTCCTTGGGCATATTCCTTCCGGCCAGGGTGGGGAGTCAGGCAGCAAGTCCCCAGCCTGGCCCCCCGCAGGCCCATGGCCTCCGCCAGTCTTGCCGCCTTCCACACGCTGAGGCCTCCCCTGGACCTCCCCCCTCAGCCTCCAGGGAGGGAAACGATTGCCCCAGCCTGGCTCCTCGCATTCCTGAGCCCTCCTTCCCTCCAGGGCCCTGTTAGTCGCGCACACAGCGAAGTGTGCGGGCGCTCCCTGCTCTCTCATTTCCTAACGTTAGACGTGCATGGACCACTGGTGAGGGAGCCTGTGTGATGGGAAGACGTGGCTTGGGGACCAAACACACCTGGACGTCATCCGGCTTCCCACTCGCAGCCTGGGAGACTTGGACAAGTTACTTCTCCACTGGACCAGTGCCTTCTTCCCTGAAACATGGGGCCAGTGTTCTCTGTCAGTCCGGGGCCTTCGGGAGGCAGACACCAAAACGGGTTAGGCCTCAAGCGGACGAGTGGGGCAGCGGCTGTGAAATATAAAGGGTGGGGCTGGAGCACAGGGAAGCCTCAGGCTGCAGCGCAGCTCTGCCGCCTCCAAAAGGAGCAGGAGCCCAGCTGGCGTGGCTCAGTGGTTGAGTGTCGGCCCAGGAACCAGGAGGCCACGGTTCAATTCCAGGTCAGGGCACATGCTCAGGTTGCGGCTCGATCCCCAGTAGGGGGTTTGCGGGAGGCAGCCGATCGATGTTTCTATCTCTATCTCTTTCCTTTTCTCTCTCTAAAATCAATTTTTAAAATATTTAAAGAGTAGAAAGGAGAGAGAGGCGGGAGGATTGAGGAGTCTCGAGCTGCAGTGCCATTTTAAGGGAGTTTCTAACGGGCCAGTGGAGACCTCAGGCCATGGAGCGTCCCTGTCCTGCAGGAGCAGAGCACTGGTATCTGCCATAGTCTTCATGGCTGGGAGCAGTCCAGGGAGCGCGGCGTCGGCACAGACGCGGTGGCGGGTCCAGGGCAGCAGCTGGGCCATCCCTGAGCTGTGCTCCCTGCAGCAGGCGGTCTGAGCAAAGCATTTTCGTGGCTGCAGCACCCACTCCAAAGAGACGATGCCTCCAAGGCCCATCGCAGTGCCTGCCATGGAGAAGGTGCTGCGTGCATGGCGGGGGTCGTGGGGCAGTTACGATTCACCCTGCTGTTAGGATTTGCTGTGCCTTCTCCATCAGGCCTGGGGAGGCACTTTAGCAGGTGCTTGGAAAGGTTGAGTCCTCGGGGAACCTGCAGGAGTTCATATCCATTTCCTGTCGCACAGGGAACCTATCCCTGGAACCGTGCCGCCCCCTCAACACAGCATTGTTCCTCCTTCCTCCAATCCCTGGGCTCCTCCTTCCTGCCACACGTCTGACAGGTCCGGGATGATCCCCACGGGCACTCCTAGGAGGCCCAGAGGACTTGCTGAGCCCGCACTCCCCTTTAGAACGTGAGGAAGGTGAGATCTTGACGTCCTGGGAGTCTTCACAGCTGTTGCCTTTGTGGGAGCAGAGCAGTTGGAGCTTCTAACTGAACCGGAAGGGGGTGGCCAGCACCAGTGTTTGCACAGAGCTGTGTATGTGCAAAGCACCTCGTGTGCTAAGGCGCATCCCCTCCAGAGTCCAGGGCAAGATGGGCCGGCAGGCATCAACCCGAGGGTCACAGAGACCGGGGTTCAAGTCCCAGGGACGAGCTGGGTGAGCAGGGCCAGCTGTGTTAATACCCAGGAGCTTCCGGTTCCTCTTCTGGA